CACTTTTGCGTGCCGGGAACCGACCTCCCCAGGTCCAAGTCCCAGCTCTCGAAAGCCTCGCCCATTAGCCTTGGGATGTCGTGTGTTCAGTCGGGGGGGCCCTTCAGGTTGTAGGTTTTCAAAGGTTGGCATCTCAAAGCGCCTTTGTGATGTTGACTTGCAGGTGCTCGCAGTTCTAAGTGCTGAGCGGTCCTTAGACCTAGCTGGCGGAAGCCGCTCGAACCTCCATGCATCCAAGGGACAGCAACTTTAGCAGCCGGGGCTGTGGGAAGGACAAGTCCTGGGTGTCGGGGGTCAAGGGGAAGACTTTGGGAGCTTTTTTTAGGCCCGACGCGATGACCCGCAGGCCACGAATCAAGGAAGGCCTCAGATCCAAAAGTCCCCTCAGTAACCGCTACAAGTAGGGCCGGAGATGTTTTGAAGCCCATTCAGAAACGCTCTGGGCCGAGGTGCTGTCAGTGACCAATGTACAAAGCGTCCGCCTTACTCCGCGTGAATATCATTCGCACAGAAATTCTCAGGACATGGCTAAGGGGTTCCAGAAGTAGTTGGCGTGAAGCAACAGGCAGCCCCGAACAAGAACCGAACAAAGGGTCAACAAACTTCCCAGATGCAGACATGCAAGCAGAAGCAATTTAGGTCTGCCGGGTGTCGGGCGGGGGTGCAAGGTTTCAATTCTCGTTGGGTTTGCTCGGTGTGCTCAATGTATTCAGGGCGTCTGTAGCTACTCAGTGTTTGCCAATCCAAGCCCAAGCATAGGCTTGGGCTGTGAAACCTGCAACGCTCACCGCCATCGCATGCCGAGTAGCCATTGGCCGAGGTCTTCGCCAGACCGCGCTCCTTACTTCAAGGAATTTCACCACCCGCTTTTGGCCCGGAGTCCGAACAGCCCAGCAGCCCAGAAGCTTCGTTATTCTGCTTCGGTCTCTGAATTGGTTGTTGCTCTTTGGTTTCAGGATTTTTCAGTAAGGGCTGTTTGGGCTGTTTATAAAGTCTGTAGATCTGTCTGGTCACTTCGTGCTTACGGCCATTCAGTCAAAAAGCATAGAGGACACCGATGGCCACCATGCTTGTGGACTCGCTGGACACCGTGGGCAGTGAGTTGAACGTGACAAACCTTAGCTGCAGTTCTTGAAGGCCCGATCAACACTGGCAGTTGACCCAAAGTCAGGCTAGCTTCTTCTTTCCGGCCATGAGCTCATCCCAGCGTTTGGCGGAAACTTTTCTGCCTGCCACAGTATGCATCGGCAATTCAAGCAGGGCCGTGTGCTGAATGAAAAGGGTCTCTTTCTTTCGGTGCTTTTGCTGAAGCCTCTTCCTGACCCAGACCTCCGCTTGCCCCTGCGTGCAGCTGCCTGTTAGACGTAGTCCGGAAAATTTCCTCGGCCAGGAACATTTGTTTTGACAGCAAGCTGAGAGCTGGCCCGTGATGCCAAGGGTTTGTGACGAACAACTGCGAAACTAGTAGCGCATGTTGAGACAGGAGATTGCCAACATGCCAACATGCATAGCAGCAGAAGTGGCGCTGAAAGCGCAACTATCACACCCTAGTAGCATAGTAACACGAGTAGGTAGCGGCAAGAAGAAGCACTTGTGAGCAATGAGGCTAATGAGATGCCCGTCCATGTGAGCATTTTTGGGCACGAAGACGCGAGGAGAGCTGCGGTTCAGGATAGAGACGCCGAGCCACTCTGTTTCAGTGGGGCCATCCCCTGGGCTCGTGGCGGCCATTGCTGGCCGAAGGGGAAAAGCGACAGGAGAAGAACTCGATTTTGTTCGTTGCATTGGGGCCGTACAAAAGCTTGAGCCTTTGAATCGATGTGGCTTTGACCTCCATACTTCGAGATCGATCCTCCATCAAGTGAGGTATTGGTCAGGATCCCAGTCCTACAAGCAAAGTGCTTGAGCGCAAAAGCAAAGGGCGAGGTGCGAAGGAGGAGAACTGAAGGCACACGTCTGCTTTGGGATGCAAAGGGTCACTCATGATGGATTTGCCTCGATGCCTCTACCCCCCTAGACAAGCAGAGCACGCATCTTCAACCACTGGCTCTGATACACTCCAAACCAGACTGACCCAATTAGTGCTCCATGATCCTCCCAACACCTTCCTGTGCCCGCGACGGCGCATCCACGGGCAAAGCACCGAGGACTTTCAAGAGGTCGTCCGCGGCTGAGCAAGTTCAGTGGCTGTGGGTCGTTTCAACTCCAAAGTTGATGTCTAACAATCTCGATACCTTTGGGGTTTTGCGCTTTGGAGACTTCATGCAGTTGCGGGTGTAAATGCTTGCCATAGGCTTCTCACTCCGCCATGACCTGAGACTTTGTGGAGCCTAGAGGAGCTATACTTTCTATTTCGACAGAAAGGCCTTTGTCTGCGCGTCCTAGCGGTCCGAACGCAGTGTCTTGAGCAGCCTTGAACAGAATATTCGACTAGTACAATCCTGACTGAGCGGCCCCACCTGCCAAACACAAGCCAGAGCTGAGCTCAAGGCTGCAATCCCCCATCGGATTGGAGCACAGTGCCTGGCAACAGGAGCAAAAGCTATCCAAAGAAACCAAGGCCTGTTAGTGCTCGGGTACTAGACCTACGCGCCGATGCCGCTCTCATGTCCAGCCATCAGATGCTTGCCAAAGATCCGCATGCCCCTCTCATACGGCAATTGTTCAAAGTACAGGTCCCCAACATAACCATGAGGTATGGTTACTTTCTTGGAAAGGGTTATGCAAGAGACTGGCTCTCCAGGCCCTGCATGCTCAACCTTCCAAAGCCGAAATGCCTTTGAGCCGTTTCTTTTCAATTATCTCGAGCGTTGTTCATTTTCTTGAAGTGTTCTACACATCCTGATTTGATTCATCTTCTGTTGGCAAGACAACCTCAATACCCAAGCCTTCACCTAGGCCCGTCTCGCCTTTAGGTGCTGGGGCTCCCAAGGCTCGGGACGGGAGGCAGATCCCCCGCCCTGGCACAAGGCGGCTGGGATTGGGTGATGCTTTATGCTTTATGAGTTCAAGGATCATGGGGCGACTGAAATCGACCAGCCGTGGAAGTGCGGTGCAAGGAGCCCTCCCACCCAGGCCCCCCGTTTTGTCCCCCTCCGCAGTGCTTTGGAACGCACGGCCTCCCACCAGCTCTTCTCCTGGCTGTGTTGTTTGGGACAAGACAAGGTGCCTGTGTGGGTGCCGGAGTTGAGAAGGTCATGCTCGTCTTCGAAATCTTGTCGTAATGCGGAGCTGGCGCTAGATTTTGGGCGGCAGGTCAGCCCTATTTCAAGCTCGATTTGCCTTTGCACATTGGACAGATGTGCTGGGATTTATGGATTTCCACAAACAAACTTCAGCTCCGACTCCGAAACCAGGACTTCCCTGGGTCCCGAACCTGAAGCCTCGGTTTTTTTCAGCTGCCCTATCCCACCTTCTCCATTCGCGGTCTTGTGGCCTCTCGGATTCGGCTCTGAACCCTTCTTAAGGGGGTTGAGCGCCCCCTTGTAGAACAAATGCAACCACTCCAGCAGTCCTAGCTAAGTTCAGAAGGCTGAGGGGAAGATCGCGGGCTGATCAGTGACATGCGATGCACGTGCCATACCCCATATCCTACCAAACGCCTTTCAAATCCGAACAAAAACGGCCCTGCAACTGTCGATCGAAGCCGAGGGCACCTGGAAACCGCGCGCGGGGCGCTGAGCCGGACGAAGCCACAAACGTTCAGCCTGTGGTCTCGAGCTCAAGTGGTCTTGGGCCCTTGGAGCGTAGAAGGCCAAGAAGAATGCTGGCACTGGCATGGCTCTTGGGGACTGGAGCTCAGGGAGGGCCCAGGGGTTTCAGGTCTGCGGAATTTGGGGGGCTTTCTTCAGCAAAGAATGCCTAAGCAGCCTAGTCAAAGGCAGCTAGAGGCTTCTACTTTCTTAGAAGACGAAACCTCGGTGGCACTAGAAAAATCTCGGCGAGGCTCTAACTACGCCCGGAAGGACTACAGCAATCCCAGTCCTCTGACAACTTCTAAGCCTTCCGCCCAAATTCACCCGAAGAAATCCACCGAAGGAGGCCCTCGATCAAATCCCAAGTCCGATCATTTGTCCCTCCCACCTCGGGGGAAGAGTTTTCACCGAGGAACGCCTCTCACATGGGGTGTACTGACAAGGCTCCTATTCTTGCAGGACGAGTTCTTTTTTTCCCCACCTGCCTAGCTGACATGTCTTGGACCAAGGTTTAGCAGGGCCTGAGGGTTTGCATGCAGGCGTAGGGAGACTTGTACGGAGACTTGTGCAGGGCCTTGGGCCATGAGAAAAACATCGCCACGTCAGACAGCAACCTGGCCTGGTAAGGCGTATATGGCCTAAGGTGTATCAGGCCTCAGGCCAAAAAGGTGAAGCTCCAAGTGCCCTGCCTCCTGCTCCAGCCACAGGTGGAACTTGGGACTCGTGTCCTGAGCTCTCTGATCCTCAGTCTCCCTCAACTTTCAAGGGGCAAGGCATGATGCTTTTTGTTCACAAGCTGGGAAGGAAAACCGTGACAAATCGCACAAGTTGGTTCTGTTCAAGACAAGCGTCGCATGTCTGAGCGGTGCCCGGTGTACTGCCAGCCTCGTGGTACTGGGAAGACATTTGCTTCATGGCGGGTTTCAACGTCCCAACCCCCAGAACTTGAGGTGAGCTGGAGGTTTGCCGGCTAAGTGGAAACTTGTCGCCACCGTGTTGGGGGGGGGACCTTCAGTCTTGAACCGCAGGCCCGAATTGAAGGTGTCGGGAGGAAGGGGGGTAGGGGGCGAGCACTTGAGTCAAAATCTTCGAGCTATGCCTGCGAAGAGAAAGTTGCAGCTGTAAGGCAAGGAGTTGACTGTCGATTGTGGAATGACCAATCGGGGGGTTGCGATTCATCCTCTGCATTGTCGGAGGAGCTCGGAGCGTCGAACTCTTGCTGAGAAAAAAGATGGCCAGAGGGAACTGGCCGGAGTAGATGTTCAGAGCCATGCATGACATGAACCCAAGGCCCTGGCAATTGCTTCACCTGCAGCTTCTGCGGTTGGCGCCACAACGCAAACCTTGAAGCTGATCGACAAGAGCTTCAAGGGCAGTCCATTTGCACATGGTGCATTCGTGGTCTACTCATGGCCGAAGTAGCACAAGCATTTCATAGGAAACCTGGCCTCCCTGTTTTCAGCTAGAGAATGCCAAAGTGAGGCACAACACAATACAGCCAAGAGGTGGACAAATCGTTCACAGAGTCTGTCCTCCGTTATGAAGCCCAAGAGATGCAAAATGACATGGTGCCAGGTGGCTGCCAGGTCGTGCAAGGAGTTCATGAGGGGCTCGGGAATACTTCCCCTGTTGATCTCCGCAGCTCCTGCGTGCCAACTGGGCGAGGGGGAGGCCGACTGACTTTCAGTATGCTCTTAGCAGTTGCAGTAGCCGAGCTGTTGAGAAGCTGCGAACCAGAACCCTGAAATCCCGTCCGCTGGAGGAAAACGCTGTCACGGCTGGACGCAGCCTCGGAAAACGAACTTGACCCAGCGTGCCTTACTGGCCTATCTTTTGCTCCACAAGGAGTGATGTATCAGATGCAGGCTGGTGGGCCAACACATAGGCTAGTCCTTGCACCGTTGGCCAACATGGTATGCAAGCCTTTCCATTGAGCATCACCACTGTGACTGATCATCATTTGAAGAATAGGGCTGCGACTGATCTGTGGCCAGGACGTCCACAAGTTTGTACCATCCAGCCTGGCCATACCGGCCACATACATCCGCGTCTCTGCGACAAAGAAGCAGCGGGCCCAAGAGCTACTCAATCTCTGCCAGTGTCTGCCGGCCCTGCCTTCTGTTGCTTTCCCTCAAGGAACCTTTCTGGGCTCTTGAGGACCTCAGTTCGCTTTCAGCCCATTGCCATACGTAGTAAGACTGCATGCCGCTGCACGTCACTGCTTTACAGCCATCGGAGATGGCTCATCGGATGTGTCGCTGCTCGGTCTGGCCCAGGACGCTGCGAAAGCGAGACCGCGGTCTACTGAGGAAGAGAACATCTGCAGTATGAGGCTTGGGGCCCCGTGCCTTATGCCAAGTTCGTTTTGGCTCTTTCGGCTAAACTCGGGGGAATTTTTGAAGGGGTCTCCCCGGCATAGTTCTCAAGGTGCGAGGTTGCACAAGCCGCTGCAGTGCTGAAGGACCCTGTAGGCGCCCTGCGTGGCTCAGGCAGTTGAAGAGGACCTGTCATTTTGCTCGGGCTCTGCACGGAACCCAAGAGTCCCAACCCCACCCTTTTCCCGAAACCGTAAGTGGCGGCCTTCGACTTGTCCACGGGCAGGGCCGGTCCGACGATCCGTGCCCAAGTTGCCCGAGGCCTGGAGGGCTGTAACAGTGTTCGCTGATTCTGACCTGTCAGAACGAATTGTTTTCAGCGCTCTTTTTTGGTGCACCTCACCGTGTTGTCCGCGAGCTTGAGCTCAACCTCCTGGCCGACAGGAGGCCTCAGCGTCTCGGGAAGAGGGGCTCAGCGCGGAGCGACTCAAGCGAGCTTAGGGGCCCGAGAGGGTCTAATTAGGGTTTCTGGAAAAGGCTGTGCTGCTCCAGTTGGATCAATGTCTTTGCGCACGGAAAGCCAATGAGGACGTTCCACACAGTGACCGCGTCACACAGTGACAGCGGTTCAGGTACGTAACTCCTTCCCACCCTAGCCTCACCCCAAACAACCCCCACCCCCTCCCCCGCCCCCCTTTCCCAAAAAAAAAGAGAAGAAGAACAGAGCTGCGACTCCTGAAGCCCAAAACAAACGAAAAAACAACTTCCCAATTAGCCTCTCAAGAGAACACACCACTTGTGGCCCGGACAGCCCGGGCAAACCGCTAAAGTCATCCGGCTTCTGACCTGCTCTGTTCGGTGTTTCGAAGGGTTTTGCGGGTGTAAGGGCTCAGTGCTTCTAAACTCCGGCACGAGATAAGGCACACGTTCGGTTGCGAGGTCAGAGGGGGTTTCGCGTAACTCGGACACAGTGTTGTACTCTCGGACTTGCCGGCTTCGCGGAGGGGGGCTTTTCCATGAGGCTGGCTATTGGGGTGCGCTGTGAGAGGAGGTTTCAGTGGCGTTTGACGTTGACATCCCAGCCTTCGAAGCTGTTGATGTGCAGGAAGACATCCATTGTTCGCTCAGGGTCCTCACAGGAGATGCAAGGGCTTCGAGGGATGCGGTTATCCACCCGCTTCCTGTGAGCAAACAAAACATCCCGAATCCGCAAAACTGTGGCCGGAAGGGCTCCTCCAGTTGGCAGAAGCCGAAGCCCTTTTCCAGCATGAAGGTCTTGAGCCTGCCTCGCTTAGGGCTCAGGGGCCCTTTGGTGTACTCTGGGTCTCTTGGGTTCTACTGACGAGGACGGCTCTGCTTACCAAGCCTCGGTGCTTGGTGGCGGGACCCCCGCCTGGCACATTGTTGTCCTGCAGATGAAAACACCCACGGTCTTTTTTGCCTAAGCCTGGGACGTTTAATGGTTTGAGAACAGAACCTTCTCTGGCATTTGAATTGTTTCCTGGCTGCTCAGGGGGCCACAGACTCGCTCTCGGGAAACCCTCTCCCCCCTGGTCAAGGCTCCCAACTCAGTCACCGGAAAAACCTCAACAGGTCCCAACCTTGAATGGTGATTCACCACGCAGACAAGCCCCCTAAACCCTAAGCCTACAGGAAAACTAAATATACCTCAACCGGCAAGCCTTTTGAAGACCCCGGCCCTCTACCTCGTCGCATCGTGCAGAAATCACGGATATTTCCGAGGCCATTCAAATGACATTACGTCCTTCAAACATCTTCAGCATTCCAATGGCGCCTGGAACAAGCATTTAGCCTTCACAGCAAAGGAGTAAGGGTTTCTGGCCATTGGATTCTTCGACATCTCGCCGTGGAGTAACACGGTCAACCTTTACATGTTATGACTGTGAGAAAGGGCAGAAACTTCGCGAGGCCAACTTCACACTTCTGTGATGGGGCTTTGAACTTTGTTCCTATTGACGACTCACCTGGGCTGGTTTTGAAGATTGTCCACATGTAAAGGGACACAAGTATGGAGTGTATCGGGCCCATTTGTTTTCGCCCCAGGAGAACACTGCAGTAGGGCCTAAAGCTGCGTCATCCGTGCCACCATGTTTGCCGACATCGGGAGGGTAGTCTGAGTGTTTTTGATTGGGCCAGTGCGCGGGACATTCACGTGCCCCATTTTCTGATTTGATGCTTGACTCTACTCTCTAAGAAACCTTTTCTGGAGCGCAGCACGGCTCCTTCCGGGATGCCTGCGGTGCAGCCAGAACCTCAAGCAGCACTTGGAGGTCGGCACCGGGTTTCGCATGTGATTAGGGGAAGCCTTTGCAAGGTCCGGAACGCGCACAGACAGGTTCTGAAGCATGCATGGAGCAATTGCGTTTCCAAGTGTTCAATCCCAGCACATGCTTGCAGGGTGAGCAAAACCCCCCCAAAACCCCGCAAGAAACGCCTGAAGCAACCCAAGTGCCCAGCCCGTGCGCGAAGAACGCGTGTCTCGTTCTCGACTTCTTCCGACTGACAGGTGTGATGGCAGTGCAGCTCAACACATACGGGAGAACGCCAACTCCTGTTCGATCCTGAGCCTTCAACTTGCACAAACTTGCAACATCTTGCAACAAATCTAGCCCGACTGCACCTCGACCTCGACGTGCCAGCCGGCATCCAGTTCCTATGAGAGCAAACTGTGCCGAGCCGCTAGTTTTCTGAGGGAAATCTAAGCACCGGGTGCGATGCCGCACAAGATTTGGTTTCGCGCAACTTTATTTGAGACGAGGGGCTTCGAGTCCTGACTTCAAGGGCCAGATGACAGGAACTATTTTGCAGCGGCTTCTCGGGGCGTACAGCAATGCTGCACCAGTAGGAGCCGTTGAATGGAGCTATGTCCGTAGCACCACTGGAACAGCATTGAGTTTGGGCATCTAGAGCATCTAGAGGTTCTGTGTCTGTGCTATGAAAAACAACGCCGATCCTCTACACACAGCCTGCATGCCAGGTCTGATTCTTGAAGCCGTTTGGGCAAAAGCTCGCTTCCTCCCCACGTTGACCGCGACACTTGAAACCGATACAGACCGGCACGTGCAGACTGCTCAACGATCTAATCAAAAGACAGGCCCAAGTATAACTGGAAGCACGACGATGTTTTAAGCCCCATCCTTGGTGCTCGGTCTCAAGGCTACTCTTTCGGCTCTTCTTCTGCGTGTCGTAGCTGCCACCATACTTTTCTTCACCTTCAGAGTCTCCGAGTCTCAACTCCCCCATGTCCCCACACTCATCCACGTGGATGCCCTCCCCGGTTCCTCCGGTTCCTGATTGGCATGCCTCTAGGTGGCGCTGGCATGCCGATGGTCATCTCCAGTACTGCTTGTGCTTCCTCTCTCTCTCGTTCTCGCTCTCAGTTGCCCTCTCTCGCGTTGTTTCTCATCTGCGCAAACACCAACGTTCTCAGGGAAGTCAGCGCAGTTTGGCTCGGGGGAATCTTCCCGTGTTTTGTCGCTCGGTGATGGCTGTGTAGTTGTAGAGTTGGAGTGTAGAGGTTTCGGTGAAGCTTCCCAGAAACTTTCGGCACCTGCGCGTACCACAAACACACCCAAGAACACCACTGCAATAGTCCTAACCATGGCCATTCTGTGAACTCCCTTGACGACTCTGGCGTTCATCGCTCATCGATTTTGTGCTCGCTCCTGTCCTGAGGGATCTCGCCCTCGAAGGCGCTCGCCCGCACGAGGATCGGCTCCCCTGTGTGTTGGAATGCTTTGGGTCAGCTTTCGATGGCTTGGAACCGATGCTTCTGTTGCTTGAAGAGAACAGGCTTTGGTTCTCCGAAGCTGGACATCAAGAGTGGCTCCTCAGGCGCTGGGTTGCCCATTCTCAAATGGGGTTCTCCTGAAATGATGCACAACCACAAACCCTTCTTCACTTCAGGATGAGGGGCTGGCCATCTCTTGGTACAAAAGCCGCTTGGTGCTGCTTCCTATCGACCCGATGGCCTCGCCCGGCGATCGCCAACAGGCCAAAGGCTTGATCCTTCCAGTACAAGGGACCGGGGGGGTCTAAGAAGCAAAGTCCAAGCCATGTCCCGGGATGTTCGAGCTGGGACTTCCCCTTCGCTCCGGATGGTAGGAGCGAAGCACGCCACGGAGCCATGTTGTGCTGGCGATCTGGGCAGTGCAGGGCCGTTTCTCAACTGCTGTGCAAAAGCGGGAAAATTTGAAAGCTTACTTAAACGACTTAGTCTCAACAGGACATTGCCCCTTCGGCCCTTCGGGAGCCTGGGGTTTCGGGATCTTCTTGATCATGGTCTAGAGGAACCGTCATGAGACATGTCTGGGCTCAGAGAATGAAAACAAGGAGAAGAGAGGAAATCGATTGCTCCCTGTGTCGTACTTTCCTGTCTCTCGCTCTCGCTCCTTCATTTTCTTCTGCCTCGCCCTCTAGGGTTCAGGTGCTTCTCCTCCGCCCTCCCTACCACCCATTCGCGCTGCTGAGAAATAGGTTTCCAACCTGGTGATCTCTGTCATGTGGGGAGGGCATTCTCAAGCCGAGGGGCAGTGGCTCGCCATCGAAATTCTGGGTGATTCTGGGATGTGATTTAGGACTCGTAAAATAATTCCTGAACAATGAAACTTTCCGGAGGACTGCACTGATCAGATTACTCGAAATAGTTACTGTTCTTGATTCCACAACCACAAGTAAGAGCCGAGATTATTTCTCTCGGAACGACGCGGCCTGCTCCGGAAGCTCCCACGGTGGTGGCCGAGGGGAGCTGGGCGCCTGCAAGCGACATGGTCGGGGGCGGTGCCTTCAGTCATTGTCCTACATGCCAAGGGGATACTGTTGGAGTAACTTGCTTTTTTCCCAAGTCTTGCTTGCTACCTTCACACTCCAAGCCCTGTCCCCGCGCCAATGCCCCCAGCTTAGCACCTTTGTGAGGGATCTCAGCGGGAGTAGCTTCTGTTCCTGTGAAGTGGGCCCAGCCCAGCCCGGCTTAGGGGGGCCCATGGAGGTTCGGGTGGCATTTTCCCAGCAGGGATTGAGCCGGATCTACCACTCAAGCGGAGGGGAGATGGCGGGAGGGAAGGTTTCCATTGGCCGGAGTGCACATCAGGCCACTTACTCACCCACTCACTCACCCAGCTGCCCACTCACTCAGATAGACACGTACACGGACTGTTTCGTCTTTCGCAAGTGCCACCAGTCCCAGGGGTCTCAGGGTCGCGGTCGCTGGGTCTCGCCGCGTAATGTCAGCAGTCCATCTGCGAACTTCGTCTGATCCTGCCCTTGAAAAACAGCATCCTCGGCTCTAGGATTGCAGGTTCGCCGGCGCGGACGGCTGAGTGGTACACATTGGTCTGCATGCTTTTGAGGGACAGCCTCGACAGCTTTTGTGGATGGTCTTTTGCTGCGTAGATGCTTTCGGGCCATGCCTTGCGGGACTATATTGGCGGGATTACTTGGCCTGTATGACAAGAGGAAGTCTACTCTTTTCCTCCAAGGTCCTGCAAGTAATCTTCACCTTTTACAAGTTGTCTGGAGGGTTGCGCATATTCCGTTGCGCTGTTTTTGCACAAGCCTCAGAGCAGAGAAACTTTTGGAGCGGACAAAGATCCGCCCTCAACACCCAAAGCCTCAAGCCCTTGCACAATACTTAGGTCTCGGCAGCCTTGGTCACCAAAAACGAAGAAACCACCGGAAGTCAAACCCCACAAAAGCCCCAACAAGATCACCAGCCTCTGCCTCCTCTCCCTTGGGACACTCGGGGGCCAGAGAGTCAGGGGAGGCCTTGCCCAGTTTGGGTAATTGCACCACCGTGGCCCAGATCATAGCCATAATATCCTAAAACACTTTACCATATAGAAAATAAGGTGCAATTATCCAAAATGGACAAGGTAATGGGTCGCCAGTTTGGGTTATTACATCACCGTGGCCATATAATCATAACTAGCTCATTATCCTTAAAATACTCTATCTCATCCTATTTATCAGGTGATGTAACATCCTAAACTGGGCAAGGTTAGGTTTATTCATTTTATGGTTCATAGTATGGGGTAGTAGGGTGGTTTCAATAATAATTTAATTTTATTATTAAATTATTATTGGTGTATCATTGTATGTGTTTCAAGTTATTCTGGTGGGTTTGTGATTGTTCATGTTGTTTCAGCTTGTATTTCTTGATGTCGTAATTACAAATGGGACAAGTAAATATTTCGTCCTTAATTCTGTTCATTCGGTTTTGTCTCCATTCCTTGACCTTTTCCGGATTATTT